TACATACTCATAGATATTGTTGACTTCCGCAAAGAAACAATTATATCTCCCAATCCGGAAGGCGAATTCTAACTTATTATATATAAAAATCACCAATCTTGACAGGACAGAGTTAATCAGTTTGACAGAATCCCACAATCTCATCAGTAACACTCGTTTTTGGCAGAATTTTAGAAATAATTAGCATTTAGTTTATTTTTATTAATAAAATTAGAGTCAATTTAGATTTGGAAACAAAATCAATTTTGATTTAATTAGGACTGATTTGTTTCCTACATTATACGAAGTCTTTTTAGGATAAGATTTAACACTTTCTATTTCTTTGTAATTCTAGTTTTAGTAGGAATTAATTTTTTTCTATTTAAGAAGAGTCATGTAACCCCATGGATTAGATTTTTTTTTATCAATAAAATTCTTCCTTAATATTTTCTTCGTGGATTCGAAGTTCTACGTGGATTCAGAGATCGTTCTTTGTGGATTCAGAGAACAACCATTGGTGGATTCCAAGGTTTATCACATTTGCATTGCGTTATCATGGAATCACACTATTTTTAATCATGATTATTTAAAAAAAGTAATCTCAATATGTTTAGATGACTATTCATTTCAAAAGTATGCTAAAAAATGAACCAGTCATTCCAGGTATATATGATTACAAAAACATAACCAAACTCCCTAATTCTGTATTAAAAAAAGATTGAAAGTGACATGAGAATAATTAATTAACAATAATCAATGACTAATATATCTTCACTACCTATCAAACAAAGTGTCTAAGTTTGCTATGAAATAAAACTAAGTTTGCTAAGTCATAATATTTGTTGTTGTTTAATAAAAGTTCCAGAATTGAAGGCGGGAATTTGTTGCCAGGGCATGCATGGTGGAATTTTTTGGTTTGCCTTTTTGAAAAGTTTTTTTGTGAACCTATGTTCATAGGGTTAATGCTTGTATATATTTAGTTTGCTAATTTCTCTGGAGCTACTACAAGTCTGTTTTTTTTAATCGACCAGAATGCCAAGTGACTGTTCTTGTTTGCGGTGAGTGACGATAAGGTCTGCTCCTCTCCCACAAGAGTAATCTAGCGGCATAGATTTTTGTTCAAATAGAAAATTGAAAGTTTTTCTCATAGCTGCTATACTTGTAATTTGTTCCTCCCTCTAATGAATATCTTTTGAGTATATGAACACTTGCTCTAGTTTTACTTCAATCAGAGAGAGAGAGAGAGAGAGAGAGAGAGAGAGAGAGAGAGAGAGAGAGAGAGAGAGAGAGAGAG